AGTTATCTTTAGTGTGTTCCAAGATGAATTGTTAGTAGTTCTAATTTTTTTATGCTGAAACTACTTAACATAGTTGTTTTTTTTTTTTTTTAATGTGTGGTGACCCCAGTCATAAAATAAACATCCAACTTGCAGGCTACCCATATAAAAGATCTTTTGACCCCCCAAAGGGTTGCAACCCATACATAGATTGAGAAACTGTTTCAAGTTCCTTATCAGACTGCTTAAGGTTATTGATCTACTGCATCATAAGATAGGAATTTTATATTTTCTGGTGTTTAGCTGTGGTGTTAATTTTTAGCCACTTTTCCCCTCTGAATATCCTTGAAATGGGTAAGACCAAGTCAAGGAATGAACACCTGGCAGATGAAGTTTGGACCATTTCTCTGAATGTGAAACACGGAACAACAATCAAACTAGATGAAACTACAAACACAAACTGACAGACATGGGCAGACCTGCAGAAGCAAGTGTTCCCTTAGTGGGAACTAGTGAAGGGCCATGACACCTCCCATCCACCTCTGACCTCTGAGCAGTACTTGTCCATTTTCGCCTTTCTTGTGTCCCAGGTGACACCAACTAGAAACCAGAATAAAGGCTTACCTCAGGAGAAGCAGATTACTAAAAAAAAGTCTCAGGTGCTACCAAGTGGGTTTTGTGGCTCAGGTAGGTAGGCATTTGGTTCCCAGCCAACCCACCAAATATTAGGGTCTAAAAATACAAAACAACCCAAGCAGGCACAAGAGTCCACACAAAGCAAGATTTTTATTTCAATTAGGCAGCGAAAACTGACCAGTCGGGGACAGCGGCACAGGAGCTGCTGACTGACTCGGGAGCTGACTGCATCCCTGACCTTTCATCTTAATAACTAAGCAGAAAAATCACAAAACCCACAAACTTCTGTGTCAGGATGCAGTTACAATTTTTCATTTCTTAGAATCATTTGTTGTTTTGTGGTTCAAAACAATCATTATGTTTTGAGGACCAAAAGAAGAAGGAGGAAGTTGGTGAGCCATCTGGAAAGTTCTCAGCTCCCCTAGAGCCTGGGAACTTAAACTTAATTTCCCCTTTTGATCAAAAAGGAGTCTGGAAACAAAATGGCAGTACTTACAATAAGTCTCATTTCTTTGATTACAACACGAAGAGCTCTGCTCACTGCCACACAAAGCATGCAGGAGGAAGACATTTAGAGACACTGCCCACCATGTGGCCTGCCCACAGTGTGAGCCACTATGATGTACAAGTATGGGGTGGAAAGATGTGAGAAAAAGGGAAGCAGAACTGATTGTGTACTGTGAAGAAAAGTGGATCTGGAGATGCAAAAATGGAGAGGAACAGCCTGATGTGAGTAGGATGTGATGCCACCTGAGGCCACGGTGAAGAGCTGGCCTGTGCTGCTACTGAGAGCCATGTCTGGGCCCAAGGCCATGGAGCAGCAGGGGACTGTGTAGATGTCCATGGCCCATATCATGACCAAAGCCCATGCTGATGTTTCTTGTCTGGGCTGCCACTTGGGATCATGTTTCTATGCAAGGGCTTGTAGAGCTGTTCCTGCCCCTCACTGGCTGCAGCAACTGGGAGAGGTCCCCCACCCCTTGCAGGCTGCAGCACTTAGGACCATCTGTACACTTCCCCCAGGCAGCACAGTAAAGCTGGCCCTGGTGGTAGGGACTTGGGTGAGCTGGTACTGAGGACAGGAGAGCTAGGGCTTTTCCTTGCCGGCTCTGGCATTGGGTGAGCTAGCTGGGGCAGTGCTGGAGAACCTATCCTGGTGGTGAGGGTATGGGAGAGCTAGCGGGCTGACCAGCTCAGCTACCACCCAGGGCCAGATATAGGGCTATGAGTTAGCCCAGCCTAACATCTACCTCATCTGTTAACTGCTTTAGCACATGAAGGGACGGTTCCTGCAGATCCAAAGCTACGGGATTTCCGTGACACAAAACAACAATAGGACATCTGAGAGGAGTCCTGGAAAGGATCCAGTATTGATAGTGTGGTAGAAGCCAGAGGACTCCAACCAGACCTAAGACTCATTGCAGCGAGCACTTAAAAGTAAAGATGTGTGGACAAAAGGGTAGACTGTGGGATACAATGAGACACACTACAGCTTCTACAAGATTCTTTTTGAGGGAGGTTGCAAGGGAAGAAGGCCAATATGAAGGGACATGGAGATGAGTAGAATTGGGATGCATGATGTAAAATTAACAAAGAGTTAAAAGTGGCCATGGGACATTTTCTTACAGTGATTAACTGGAGAGGGTCCAGCCCATTTGGAATTGTGTCAGCCAGGGGCTGGTGGTCTGGGGTTCTATAAGGAAGCCATCTGAGCAAGCTAGGAAGCAGTACCCTCCTTGGCCTCTGCATCAGCTTCTGTGTCCAGGTTCTTGCCCTGCTTGAGTTTCTACCCTCACTGTTTTTTATGGTGAACTGTTATATGAAACTTTGAGTGAAATAAACCTTTTCTTCCTCTCCCCCAAAATGTAGTCCAGGATTAAGTACTCAATGCATAGTTTAAGGACTGTAGGATATAGAATACAAAAAACATCTAAAATAATAAAAAAGGAAACCAGCTAAAATGTTATTTTTCCATAGCTTGTTTATGTCAGAGCAACTGAAAAACACTTGGGCAGACAAAAGAATGGATTATAACAGGTGGAACAGAGGAATAAAAAACAGGCATAGGCAGGTGAGGGAGTGAGGCATTAGGACCCAGCTTGGCCTGTATCCACAGCCTCCGGCTTCATAGCTATACACTGGCAGCCCCTTGTCTAGCACCCAGCAATCTGTTCTTTTGGTTCCCTTGGGATATTGCTTTCCCAAGTTGATGCAAACTCACGTGACTCTTTGACATCTAAGCATCGTAGAACATTAGGAGCTGCCTTTGATACCTAGCTATTTGTTAGAGGCACATGGCTAAGAGAATTCTGCATTTGGCTGACCAAACCAGTAAAGACATCTGATAAAACAGTGTGTGAAAAAAGCAAACACATAGCATGGCAGTCTTATGTCTCTTTTTAGTGTTAATGGCATAATCTCCTTAGGGCTCAGTGACACCAGGAAATTTATGGGTATTGATATTTGGTTTATGACATGTGATTATAGCAACCAAGAAGTCACATGACCTTTACCCTCCCCCCTTTTTTATGAAACCAAGAGCAAAGATGAGAAGTTGAGAAGAGAAAGAGCCATCTAAGTCCTTTGAAACTAAATTCCCAGGTGTCTGATACACTGTAAGATTTGGCTTTTGCCCAGCAGGGGTTCAGTCTTGCCTTAGTCCAATCTGTTCTCCATTGAAAAGGAAATATGGATTCCATTCCATTGTGTGTTGGGAAAATATAGGTGTTGTTTGTTTGTTTGTTTGTTTTTCCATGATGTCACAGTCAATATCCTGCCTTGAGTTTCTGAAGAATGTTTGGACATTGTAACAGTGTTGGGACTGTTCCATAATATGGACATTTGCATGGGTTGATGAGAGCCTATAATGACCTGTGTCAAAATGTGATGGTTGAATGAAAAATCTCCAAGGTAGGATGATATCTTTGAGCATTTCTATTATGTTTGTGCCTGTAATTGGGGTGCTTATAGAAATTTTAGGAGGAGGATCCCTTCTGGAGGAAGTTAGTCTCTTGGGATGGGATTTCAGTATTTATTCACTCGCCACAAATTCGTCTTATTTGTATGTTTTCTGGTGGTTCAAACTGAGCAGCCCACTTCCTTCTCATGCAGCCACACCCTCACCACCATTATAGACTCTGTCCCTAAAAGCATAAGATAAAACAGAAGCAATTGCTTTTCCTTGCTATACTCTTTTTCGAGCCTTATATTCTTTATTTTTATATTTTTGGCTGATGGAATTAGGTTTTTACATGTCAAGTATTTACTCTTGTGCTGAGCTGTACTCACATCTTGACTTTTAAATTTTAGCAGTGGATTTTCTTTCTTTCACCAGAATTGTATCAATTCATGACATTAATACTGATTAAAATTCTTTAGAATCAGTATTAATGTCAGAAATTGTTTGACATTCTCCCTACCTTTGTGCATGTTTTTTATTTTTTTAAAATGTACATGAGTCTCTTGCATAAACATCACACAGACATATATACATATTCATGGATGTGTACCACTTACATGCCTGGTGTTCACTGAAGTCAGAAGAGAGCATTGGAATTTTTTAACCTGGAATTATGAATGGTTGTGAGTGTTGAGGATTGATCCAGATCATCTGTAAAAGCGACAGGTGATCTTAACTGTTGACTCATCTTTCCTGCCTATGCTTTTTGGTTTTCATTTTGGATCAATATTTATTTGCTAGTATTTTTCAGAACTCTTTGATGTGTCAGACTGTAACTAATTAAAAATGCATTCTTTTGTAGGACTATTGTATTTCCCTTACAGTTTAAAGTGAGGCACTCCAGTTTTCTGATAGTCTAGTATTGAGCTGGGGTGAATGTTTAACCCCCTGGAGACATTTTGAGTGAGCCCCTGAGTGCTTTCTCTCCTGTTTGTTTGTTTTTGTGAGACGGGGTCTCACTATGTAGCTCTGACTGTCATGGAAATTACTGTGTAGACAAGGGTGGCCTAGAAGTCACAGAGATTCACCCACCTTTGCCTCCTGAGATCTGGGATTAAAGATGTGTGTCACCACATCCGCCTAGTTTATCCTTTTTTGAAGTTAAGGATTTTGGTACAATTTTGCTAATGTACACTCAAGTGCTGATCTGTTTGAGTGTCTCTGTGTACTGTCTCTCTGTTGCCATTTCTCTGGCAATGCCATATGGAATTCAGTGGGCCCGACAATGAAAGACATGATCCTCCTTTTCTGTTTCCTTTTAAATTTACTTGGTGACTGCATTTGTAAGTCTGTGACATAGAATAAATGAGGGGAGTACTCAGAATTATGTAAATATATTATAAATTATGTAAATATATTGTCAATGAAATGTACATTTACAATCAGTCTCACTATTTCTATAATGTACATTTATGGGATATTTTAGGATGCAGTGACCTATGAGGATGTGCATGTGAACTTCACTCTTGAAGAGTGGGCTTTATTGGATCCTTCCCAGAAGAGTCTCTACAAAGACGTGATGCTGGAAACCTACTGGAACCTCACTGCTATAGGTAGGCATCCTAGTTTTCTTTCACTTTCTAAACAAGGGACAAGCATTTCTTAGTTATTGACACACTTCTGTGATTTCAATTGTGAAAGAAGAAGAATCAGACATGGTTCTAAGGTTCATATTTCAAAGATACTAACTTAAAATTTGCATAATATTAATAATATATCATAAATTTTCTTGTACTATATTTTAGGCTACAAACTGGAAGACCACAATATTGAAGGACATTATCAAAACTCTAGAAGACATGAAAGGTAAATTTCATGTGCAAGCTGATAGAAATGTATCACTGATGAAATTTTAATGTGCCCTGAAGTTTTAAAGAAAAACAGCAGTGTAAATAAGCACAGTTTTATGTATATTGATGATTATTAAATACTTAGAAGACCATGTACTTCAATTTCATGTAGCTGACTTGTGATTGAAAGGCAATCCTCTAAGAAACAAGACAAGGAAACAATATCTTAACACATGACACTATTTTAGGGCTACACAGAAAAATCCTTTCTCAAAAAGAAAAAAAATTCTTGTCAATCCATTTAGTTTCAAACCATTTAAATATCATAAAAGGCATATATATTGATGAGAGGTTTAGTGTATGTCCAAGACTTTTTATAAGCATATAGTTCATTAGTAAAGCTAGTGTTACTCATATACTTATAATGACTTTCTACAGTTTAGTGAGAGGAACGGTTTATGGGAGGCAAGGAGGTTGTAGCCATGGAGAAACGTTAATCCCTATAGCACATGCCTATGAAAACCTCTTGCTTGTCATTTCTCCTTTAATAGGTGTAACATCTGTCACTGTGGATACAAGCCTTGTGAGCATAAGGGATGTGAAAAGAAGCAGTGTGCCTTTACACAGAACAGTGTTCTTCAAATATTTGAAAGAATCCACACTGAAGAGGAACCCTATGAATGTAACCAATGGAGTCAAATCCTTGCAAATTTCCGTAGTCTTCGGAAAAGTGAAAAAAATCATACTAAAAAAAAGCCTTATGGATGTAATCACTGTTGTAAATCCTTTCCAAGTCACAGTTCTCTTCAAATACACAAAAGAAGTCATATGAGAAAGAAACCCTATGATTGTAATGAATGTGGTAAAGCATTTTCATGTCACAGTAATCTTTATAGACACAAAAGAACTCATACGGGAGAGAAACCCTATAATTGCAATGAGTGTGGTAAAACATTCGCATGTCGCAGTAATCTTCAAAGACACAAAAGAACTCATACAGGAGAGAAACCCTATGATTGCAATGAGTGTGGTAAAGCCTTTGCATACAGCAGTGTTCTTCACAAACATGAAAGAAGTCATACTAGAGAAAAATTCTATGAGTGTGATCAATGTGGTAAAACTTTCGCACGTCATAGAGGTCTTCAGAATCATAAAGAACATCATACTCTTGAGAAACCATATGAATGTACTCAATGTGGTAAAGCCTTTGCATATTGGAATAATCTTTCTATACATGAAAGAAGTCATACTGTAGAGAAACCCTATGAATGTGAGCACTGTGATAAAGCCTTTCCAAGTCACAGTTCTCTTCAAATACACGAAAGAACTCATACGGGAGAGAAACCCTATCTTTGCAACGATTGTGGTAAAGCATTTGCATGTCGCAGTAATCTTCTAATACACAAAAGAACTCATACTGGAGAGAAACCCTATGATTGTAATGAGTGTGGCAAAGCCTTTGCATGTCGTAGCAGTCTTCAAAAACATGAAAGAACTCACACTGGAGAGAAACCTTATAAATGTACTCAGTGCAGTAAAGCCTTTGCACGTCGCAGTGATCTTCATATACATGAAAGAAGTCACACTGGAGAGAAACCCTATGAGTGTAATCAGTGTGGAAAAGCGTTTTTACATTGCATTAGTCTTCAGAGGCATGAACGAACTCACACTGGAGAGAAACCTTATAAATGTAATCAATGCAGTAAAGCCTTTACACGTCACTTTAGTCTTCAAATACATAAAAGAAGTCATAGTGGAGAGAAACCCTATGAATGTAATCAATGTGGTAAAGCCTTTGCAAGTCGTAGTAGCATTCGAAATCATGAAAAGCATCATACTGTTGAGAAACCTAATTAATGTAATCACTGTGGCAAAGCCTGTGCATGTCCTGTCATCTTTAAATGCGTAAAAGAAATCATACTGGAAAGAATCTCTGAGTGTAGTCAATGTAGACAAGGCTTTGTATGTCACAGTAGTCTTCGTTATCACAAAAATGTCATACTGGAGAGAAACCCTTTGAAGGTAATTGATGCAGTAAGCTTTGGTACATAAGTGTACTCTTCAGACACATCAAAGAACTCACACTTGAGAGAAACCCTAAGAATGTAATCACTGTGATGATGTCTCTGCATGTTACAGAGCCATAAAAGAATTCCTACTCAGAGAAACACCTTGAATCTAATAAATGCAGGAAAGCCTTGCACACCAAGCACATTTTTCCCACTGAACCACCTCACTGGGGTTTATGTAAAATCAGTAGAGCCATTTCATCATTAAAATATTGTTTGTAAAGTATTGTAATTTATTTATAAATTATCATCTAAGGATAGGGGAACACCGTAATTAATAAAACCTATTTGCAAAAGAAAATGACTTTATACTAACATCATTTTATGGGTTACATTTGTTTATTCTGAGGAATTAATACTTGTTCTTAACACTTCCTCAGAAACACAGTGAATGGGAAAGAATTGTCTCAGTGGGTAAAGGCGGCTGCTGCTAAGCCAGGTGACCTGAGTTTATATGTAATATGGAGACCCGCATTACTCAGACAAGTTTTTCTCTGATTACTACACCTGGGCTGTCACATATGCACACACTAGCCAACACATACGTACATATTTTTGAAACTTGAATAAGGGACAATGAGTTCACTTATCAGTTGAAGGTACTTGCTGCAAAACTTAACTACCTGAGTTTGATCTTTAGAACTCTTCTAGGAGAACTAGGGAATAGATACCCATAAATTGTCTTCTGATGGCATGTGCACAACACAGCACAGGTATATACACACAGGTAAAATGTATTAAAGATGAAATTAAAACAAACCAAAATATTGCTAATATAAGAAACTATTTACCAGTCATAATTAATGTATTTTAGTATTCCAAGAAGTGATTCTGTTCATTAAAACAATGATGGTTCCTGTTTGACTCTTACATTATCTTTTCATTCTCTGATTTCAAAGATAGGTCATTTTCAAAACATCTCAGCTAGGTGTACTATTTGGATGCCTGTAATCTCAGCACTTGGGCAATAGAAGCAGATGGATTTTTCTGAGTTGCAGGCCAGCATGGGCCACATAGTGAGTTTCAGGATAGCATACCTATGTAGAGAGACCCTGTCTCAAAAAAATTCAAAACAACAAAACCCAAAAACAACAACAACAAAATCCTAAACCAATCAATCCTATTATGGGTCTTTTTCTAATAGTATCTGGATGAGGTGAGAATTTTGTAATATAGGTTTACTTTTTAAAAAACAGAAATATTATAGGACTATGTTTTTGTTTTAATCCCAAGTGTGGGTACATGGAGCTTCTTCACAGTAGGTGACTATGATTTGCCTCATACTTTAGCAGAAGTGTGATTTTATCAGAGGCAGTATGAGTTGCTGGTTAGTGATTGGATGTTGTTGGTTGATGTTGTTAAGTAGTTGTGCAAAAAGAAACAAGACAAAGAAATTAGATATCCTGACACTGAAGATCAACCTTTCCTCAGGAAGTAGTCTAATATTAAAGTTGCTTCCTTTTCCCTTTATGATTTTTTTCTCTCCTACCTAGTGTTAGGGGGGTTAAAAAGGAGTGGAGAAGGGTGGAAGAAAGAAGAATTCACAAAGTAGCAAATGCCTGCTACAGGTGGCACCCATATGTGAGGATAGGCAGAATTGGAAATTTGATTTCAAATGCTGTAGAGGAAACAGCAGGGGATGAAGGAATATTTGTTTCAAGATGCCAGCAAAACATTTATTTTTTTGGCTACTACTGCTGGGTATAATACTACTACTATTGCCTGTTTTGCTCCCAGAGGAGATTTTTCTGGTTTCAGTTTGTTTTCTTTCTTTCTCCCTACATTTTGTTTCAAAAAAAGGAAGGAAGGAAGGAAGGAAGGAAGGAAGGAAGGAAGGAAGGAAGGAAGAAAGGAAGGAGAGAGAAAGAAAGAAAAAAGAAAGAAAGAAAGAAAGAAAGAGAAAAAGAAAAACGGCAGATACAGGAAAAGAAAGGGGTTCTGTTCTTATTTCTGAAAGGTTTACAGAATTGGCAGGACTACTGGGTGATGGTCAAAGCATTTGGGAAGCAAGAAGCACTGGAAAAGAGAGAACAAATAGATTCCGGTACAGTGACTATGCAAGAGAGTAGGACTTTCTCACATAAAAGAAGGAAAGAAACTGCTGGAGGGTGGTCAGGCCAGAGAAAAGCTGAAAAGATAAGAGGACAGTCTGATGAAACAAACCATTTCAAAAGAAAGGGTTAGTGTAAAACATCTGTGCAACGAGAGTGGACACAGGGGCAGCTAGGGTTTTGAAATCACCATCAACTTTCCCAGTAGTCTTGTGCCTGCTAACAGGATAGAATAAAGTTAAGATAGGATGGCCTATAGAAGTGATAGATCTAAGGCATTTTAAGGAGTCCATGGTTTCATGTGGTACGAACTTGCCGTATATGAAACAAACTGTAAATAACTGGCCTACTTAAAATAAAATTATTCCCCAAGACTGGAAGGGATTGGTGATAGCTGTACTAGAGGCCAGTCAGCAACTGCAATGGTTAACATGGTAGAGGGAAGGAGCTTTGAATATTGAACAGTGAAGTAGAGCGAGGGGAATGAATATAGTAAAAGATCAATTGCTGTATGAAGGGTGGTACCCTAAAATACATGAACAGAGTCTATTTGTTGACGTTACTATAGAATCAGGTCACTTAGTGGCTTTAGGAACTTGGGACTAAGTTGAGAAGCCTGGGATAAGATGCACTTTGTTTACAAAGAGTACACAACAATCTGGAGAAGCCTTCACTGGGGATGGCAAGGTGACTGGCAGAGTCTGGGAGGAGAGGAGGGAGGGGAAGCTTCAATTCAGATGTAAAGTAAATAAATTAATTAATGAACAAATAAAAATTTGCCCCCAGGCGATATAAATTCAAGCTGTCAGAAACATTTCTCTACAGAGCATTCTCAACTGCCTTTATATAGGCCTGTCTGATTTGAACAAATTGAGACCTGGAAGCCCCCTTTGCTGAAAATAATAGGAGAGAGGTAGTCGTCTATCATTGCAGATAGGTGTATGGTGTGAAATGTACTTTGATAAGGTAAAGATTCTCTGAATTTACTATTTTATTTCACCAAAAAAAGTTTGCTCATAAATGTCAAGAAAAAGGAGAAATCAAAGGTTCAATTTCTGTGCTGCTTAAGGGAGCTTGCAGCCAAGCCTTGTGACCTGAGTTTGGCCCTTGGAATCCATAAGGGACCAACTCCTGCACACTGTCCTCTGACCTCTACCTGTGCACTGTGGAATATTGAGCCACTTCCCACCCTGTGGCAAATGTGCACACGTATACACCCACTCAGAAGAAATAAATACACAAATGCATAAAAAATGTGGCAATAGTGAGTTCTTATCCACGTGTTTGGTAATGACGAAGCTCTTGTGGCCAGAGATTTAGGGTGCTGCTATGGAAGCAGGACTAGAGGCTGGGAGGCTTGGAGCCTAGATTAGGGGTAGAGGTGAGCAGGAGAGCAGAGGCTGGGTGGGGTGGGGCCATCATCAAAGAAGGTGGAGTCAAGGCAGGGGACCAGAGAGGCAGTTAAGGGCAAGCATAGAATGAGACTGAAGGGCTGGGCCAGAAAAAAGAATAGAAACAACCAGGGCAGGGCTGGGCTGAGCAAAGGCGGCCTGCAGCCGGGTAGGTGAAATGATTGATTGTGTGGGGGAACAGAAAAGACAAAATGTACCTTATCATCAGGATGAATATGTAAAGTATAAAAGGAATCTTTTAAACTGAAGCCTATTAAAATCAAATCTTTAATAGCGGCGGACTTAGGTAAATGAGGCTATAAAGCTCCATTGGCCACACAGTGGCATTAACATTCCCTAAGTCAGTCAATAATCTCCATTTACCAGGTTTCTTTTTAATGACAAAAACAGGATAATTCCAGGAAGGAAAAGGGGGTTCTAGGTGCACAATCTCTCTGACTAACTCATGAAGAGCCTGTAACTTTTCTATATAAGGGCATATTGAGGTATCTAGAGATACTCATTAAATTTCCATGTAATTTTTGTGGGTGGTGTTTTTTTTCCCAAGGCCCCAGTGAAAAACCCAATTGATGTTTATGCTTAAAAATTCCTTGCTCCCCCCCCCCCCGCCCCTGCTCTGGTTTTTTGAGACAGGGTTTCGCTGTGTAGCCTTGGCTGTCTTGTACCAGGCTGGCCTCGAACTCACAGAAATCCACCTGCTTCTGCCTCCTGAGGACTGGGATTAAAGGAATGTGCCACCACCGCATTTGTGTTTGTGGAGTAGGTAGCACTAGAGGAGGAAATATGGATCTTTGCATTACTTTGTTGAATAAACTCTCTTCCCCTAAATTAATGGGAGCATGAGTAAGACGGTGGAACCGCCACTATGGCTTCTTGTAATGAGCCTATAAGACAGCAGAGCTGTCAGGAGCAAAATTAAGAGACATTTTTGGTGACGATGACTGTGTAACGCCCTTAAGGTATTGAGAGCTTGTAAAACAGCAGAGCTGTTGAGGATAGATTAGAAGATATTCTTAGTGACAGTACCTAAAGCACCCTTAAGGCAGCTGGTGTGTGTGTGTGTGTGTGTGTGTGTGTGTGTGTGTGTGTGTGTGTGAAAGAATGATGAGCTAAGCGATGCTCTGGAATAAGTATAACAAAGTAATGCCCTTAAGGCATTAAGTAATGAAATTAGGTAATGTCAGCTGATTAGCAGCTAGTGCTTGTGAAAGAGTGGTAAGGTAAGCCATGCCCCACCAAAAGTGTATAAAAACCGAAGCCTGAGCCCACACAGGTGCGGCAGGCTAGACTCTTGGTGAGGAAGCCACAAGACTGCCAATTAACCAGCCTATTCCCGAATGGCTATTTAAAAATCCCAGACCACCTTAACAAACCAGCCCTGGAAGTACCACCTTATCAGACCAGCCCTGGAAGGTGGCTCCCAAGCAACCGAATCTTCCTTCACATCTGAGGCCTGATAGAGAAACTCCAAGGCCCATCAAGTCATCAGAAGATGCGGCTGAGGCCCAGCAGGAACTTCAAAGTTCCAGGACCTAGAAGACACTGAAACACCGATTCCGGAGACAACATGTCTGAGCCCGTACCCGTGGCCAGGTTGTATTCCCCATAAGATGTATAATGTGCTATGCAATTCTTAGATATCTGTGTGATTTGTGTGATTAAAGCAGCATTCAAAAATCATTCTGGCGTTGGCTTTTATAGATACCTTGCTGCCCTTTTGTGGCATCTCAGTTGAAGTCCTCTGGTATAATCAAGTGCTCGTGACATTTAGAGAGAAAGAAGAAAAATGAAACTCCTCCAGAGGGAATTTCTATAAGCTACAAGAGGGAGCTGAGAGGGGGTATGTCATGGCCCAGATGGGCTCCAGCCTAGAGAAGCTGAAGCATGAGCCCTGCCTGAGGAAGAGGCCTAGGAGGGTTTAAGGAAGAGACAGAGGGACAGATCTGAGGGGGTATAAGGAGTTTCATGAGGGAGCTGAGAGCAGAAGATGCAGGGCTGTAGGCAAGAGCCGAGAAACAACAGCGGGACTGCAGGCGGGACTGCAGGCGGGACTGGAGGCGGGACTGCAGGCTCTAGGGGGAGGCGAGAGAGGAGAGCTAGCCAGACGGGTGTAGTAGGCCAGAACGGAAAGACGCAACATAAGTGCCCGAGGGGATGTCTTGGGAGAGCATAGATGGCTCTAGGAGCCACAGAGACACTTACAGCACTGGCAAGGAGACGAGTGTTTAGAGCAGGTGAGAGACCCAAAGATTAAAAATCAGTGGCTATTATTTTAAAGTCTAAGGCCTGAACTAAGGCTAGCTGGGTGGAGACATGTCCAATAACACCCTGAGGGGAAGACTGGTCTTACTGCCTTC